ACACTCTTTAGCGCTAAATCAGAACAAACAGCAATCTGTTGAAAAATGGATTGCCATTTGTTCTGATTCGGTGCTATACCATAAGTGTTCCTGGGGGGGAATGGCAGGGCAAATGGAGGTGTGAATAAGCCTTCTTTTACTTACCTGTCCCACCCCCTCAACCCCAGTGTCTACATGTTCTTGTATGTAACAAAAACTATTCATTTTTCTTTAAGAATCCGGTGCTGCGTATTGGCTGGGTTGTGTGACCCAACAAGGCCAAAAACTAAATCCTTATTTTGTACACATCCAGTCTCTTTGTGAAATAAAGTTTAGGCCCCATATACATGACCCATGACTTCTTCTTCTTCTTTGGTCTCATGGACCACTTTCAGAAGAGCCAGTCAAAAGACTCACAACTTATGCTTGTCCTCTGTAGTAAGGACGCAACAAACAATTTCCTACCTCAGTGACACTGGTAAGTATCTTTTTCATTGCTGTTTCAGGGCTGGTGCAAAACCTGTCCACTTCCTCCCAAGGCATTATGGTCACTGAAGTAGCAGATCAAAATTTAAGTCTTCAATTAAGGAGGGTATATAGTCCTCCTACCACTGTTTAATCCTGTAAGGTACATTAGGCTGAGAGACAGTGACTGGCCCAAGGTCACCCAGCGAGCTTCATGTCTGAGGAAGGATCTGAACTCTAGTTTTCCAGGTTCTAGTCTGGCACTCTAACCACTGCTCCACACTGGCCCTCTTCTTAAGTGCATCCCAATGATATTTATTAGCACAGACTATGACTTTTCTCCCATAGATACACATGGCTATTGTATACTCCTAGAAAGGTAACTGTGTTGGTTCATTTTACAGGTTCCTCAAGGTTCTTCAGTGCATTTTCTCCCAGGCATTTTGGGACAACGTTGCGATAGCAGTGGGACCTGCCTCTACTGCCACAGAGTTGCCTCCTATCTATTAAGACAAACCTGAAAGTGGGAAGGGGGAATTCAATCTATATGCACAGGGGCCAAAGACCTTAAGGGATCTCTCTATGCTTCCTCCTCATTCCAGTGATATACAATTTCTTAGTAAATAACACCATTTGGCTAAATTGCTGTTACCCTCCCAATAATCGTTTCAAAGCACTAGTGGGCAATGCTGATGGATTTAACAATTGCTTTTTTAAAAGCACCTGATAACTTTTCCTGCTCGTCTTTACGATTTACACAGTCAATTTGGACTGACTTGTAGAAGTGAGCAATTTGCTTTAACCATTAAAAAAAAAACAGATTATGTTCCTTCTGAGTGTTACCGCTGTTGGAAGAAGTCTAAGAAGTTTTTTTAAAAAATAAATAAGACTAATAGAGCCATAGAGAAAAGAAACTTTCTAACTGGATAGGGTAGGGGGAAAATGTGAGGTTTTGGCATCAGGTTGAAAATGCAAACTTCCATGAGTAATGAAGGGGTTGAAAGAAGAAGAAAAAAAGCAGTCTCCATGTAGAAACGACACTTTCTTTTCAATGTGAAACCGCAGCTTGGAAAAATTGCACTTTCTGTGCATTCATTCAAAAGGAAGGCGGGTATTTAGAGATTCTAAGCAGATCCCTGGACTTTAAAAGAATGCCAAGTCACTGTAGACCTTGCAACAAACCATATTTCAGCAGCAACAAATCCCTGTTAGCTGCCCAAGTCTATTGATTTTTTTTTTAAGTTTTATTTTAGAATGTAGGACAAACATACTCCCCCCTCCTTTCCTGCAGCCATTCATCCATCATTTATACTAGTGTTGAGCTCACCAGCCACACAATCCTATGGTAATTACAGCCTCTTTAACTACACAATCACCCTCACATATAATGGAAGTCACAGACAGATTATACCAGGAGGTGACATCAAAGTACAAACACATCTGATAATTCTTGGTTTTGCAGCATAGCGATTTTTGAATCTTGCTCAACAGCGGTGAGCTCTGTAATTTCCAGTTTTGCAGAACGGTTTGCAAATACATTATTAGCAAATCTATAATTTTGCTGTTTGGTATCAGTGCTTTGCTTTATGAGTCACCATTGACCAAGGCAGGCAGTGTGGGCTTGGGAAGTGGGCTGAGGACATGGGCTCTGAGCCACGAAACTCACTTGATGACAATGGACCAATCCCTATCTCTCAGGGTGGCCTACCTCATAGAGCTGTTGTGAGGAAAAATTAGGAAGAGTCCATGCGCGCCACTCACAACTCCATGGAAGAAAGAGTGAGAAGTGCCTATGTGATAAACTGAGGCTGTAATCCTAAACCCACTTAAACGGGGAGTAAACCCCATTGATTTCAATAGGATTTCCTCCTCTTGTGTAGATATGGTTAGGATTGCAGCCCAATTCTAAACTTAGGCCGAGCTATGGTAAATTCACCCCATAGTCGTTGTGCGCTGCTATTCCATATACAAATGCTTGACGCTTTAACTTGGTCTACATTTTTAAGCAAACTGTTCTGACGTGGACTTCCTAAACTAATAGGCATATTAGAATATAGTTGTCATTGGCTTTTCACATTTCTCTGAATTTTGTTTTACAATTCTCGGCTCAACCCCCCCCCCCCCCAAAAAAAATTCCATGCTGTATATAAAGTGCTTTTTGGAAATAAAACATATACAAGAAATGCATTTTTAGAGTAAAATGCATACAAAATGCAGATTTGTTTCTGTGTTGCTGTTTTTAAAAAAATAAAAATTACAGAATGATGAGGAGGCAGGAGAGAACAGATTTATGAATGAACACATCTGAATGAACTAACACAGAGCAAAAATAGACTGGATACAATTTGTTCTCACTGAATTTAGCCAAAGCCACGGAAGCAAATTTTGTGAGGCAAGCTGAAGATTTGAAAAGATGGAGATGTACAAATGCTGTTGTTTCATGATCAAAAACAAATAGTTGAATCCTGCTTTATGAATGGATTTCAGAAGCATCGATTACATTTGTCAGCATTCATTCTCTCCTCATTTCCCCCTCATTCTGATTTATGTGGATTGTAAGCTCCTTGCAGACAGGGACCCATCTATGCTGCTATTCCATGTAACTCTACAAGGTGCTGTAAGTATGATCATGGCATGGTGTAAATAAAAATAAGATGATATTTGTCTGGGGTGGAGTAGGGAGGGACAATGACAGAAACTTTTTCTGATGGAAAACAAGAGGCTTGCAGAATAAATTTTCCACTAAAGTGCCGTCTGTATTCAGATGGCATAATTTATTGTGGAGAGGGCTGGGCGGTTGACCCCTAACCCTACTCTACGTCTTGTGCACCAGCTATTCTTTCATTATAAGCAGAGTCTGTTATTATTATTGTTTTAGCAAGCAAACTAGGCAATGCCCTTCTTCGGACTATAGATCTATTTCCTTGAAATTTCAACAGACTGAGTTGCTGGCAGAGTCTGATTTTTTTCTTGGTTGCTTGGCAACAGTGGGCATTGCACATGCACACGCTTCTCTGACATGAACAAACTTTTCTGGGGTGCAACTTTTTACAACAAGTTGGGTGTCGAAACCACCCCATATTCTTTCATTCCTGCACATACATAATCCATTGAATCAGACTGACAGCTCATCTGGCCAAGGATGTGGTCAGCAAGAGCCCTCCAGGAATTCTACAAGCATGGCATGAAACCTTCAACCCTGTTCAATGCTCCAAGCATATGCCATTCAAAGGTACCACTGCCTCGGGATTCTAGGGGGAAACATCCAATCCATCCCACCTTGGTTAAAAATAAAATACTTAACAGCAAAAAAGGAAAAATACATGCTTACCTTCAACAAATTCAGTGCTTCAAGAATTTAAGTCCCATACACCTAACAGAGCAATAAGGATTCTTGTGTGTTAAGAAAGAGGTTACAACGTCCGGCAATCCCTTGTAGATCCCCTTCACAGCCTCCAGATGAGATTTCCTGCTTTTGTTTTGTGGATAGATCTTTCCCCCCTCCCTGGTTTATTAACCTCCCAAGAAAAAATCAAAATTATTGGTACGTCAGGTTCCTTTCATGCAGTGGCAGCAAAAGCAGCAGCAGCAGCAGCAAGGTTGATTTTTTGGAAGGAAAAAAAAATCAAAAGAGCGAAGGGGTGGGGGTGAGAGATTTTTAAGCAACAGCCCACGTTGAGCTGCTACTGGCTGTGAAAAGAGACTTCCAGACTCCTCCTGTCCCTCCTTAGATACCTCTTGCTATAGCTGGCAGATTGCTAAAGGCACTGAATCCTCCTATGAAAAGTTTGAGTCAAGGTAGGCAGGAATCCAGGAAAAATAAGACAGGAGCTTGGGTGGGGAAGAGGAGGGTGGTGGGAGGCAGCAAAAGGAGGGCTGTAAGAGAGAAAAGAGAAGCCAAACCTCTTGGGGGGGGAGGGAGAGGGGGGCAGAAGAAAAAGAAAGGATGACCAAAAGTCCTGAATAGGGAGAACAGGGAATTGGGGGATTTATTTTATTTTATTTTTAAACAAAACAACTGTTTGGAGGGAGAGCAGCCAAAGTATGTAACCACAAGTGGTTGAAAGTAAGGAAGAATATAAGGAATGAGGTTGAAGAGAGAACCAGGACTTGTGCAAAAATGGGGATGGGGGGGGAAGAGAGAGAATCGAGATATATCTAATTAAAATCTCTCAGCAAGACGAGTGGGTGAAAATGAGAGAGAGGGTGCCTGCAATGCAGTCAATAATGCTGCAGGCTGGCTAAGGGAGCTGTCAGGATAAATATTTGGAGCATCTTCCGTAGGGGGTCACCCAAAACATGCAAGGCAGGCAGAAGAGAGGAAAGTTCGGAGGATTCCAGTTAGGGTGCAATTGGCAGGCGTCCGGCTACACAGACACAGAATATTAATTAGTATTCATTTATTGCATTTATACTTCACCTCCCTCCGTCCCCACAAGGAGTTCAAGGTGGCTTAAATTGTTCTATCCCCGCCTCCATTTAATCCCCACAATAACCTGTGAGGTTGATTAGGCTGAGAGGCTGTGAGCTGGTTCAAGGTCATTCAGTGACCTTCATGGCAGAGTGGGGATTTGAACCCCGGTCTCCCAGGTCTTAGTCTGACACTCTCACCACTACACCACACTGCCTCTCCAGTGGGAAGACACTGGCCAAGCAGCCCATAGGTACCTCTGCTGAGGTTACCATTCAGTTTGTCCTGTCGTGTGCTGGTCCTGAACAGAACTTAGTGGGAAATGGTACCTTGCTAGGAAGATGCAGCGAGAAGGGAGCAAGAAGAATTGGTGCCATGTATATTGTGATGGATTTGTGAGCGGGAACTTGCCCTGAAACCCTAGAAATTAATAAGTGGTAGGATTTTGATTATTTGGGATGTGGGAAGGGAGAAATACAAGCCACAGGGGAATTCTTGAGCCAGCCTATGCAAAACCACCTGGTCATTGGCAATGCACGGGAACTGTCTTCGCCTGCCCCCTTTGCCCTGAGATGTGAACAGAGAGTGGGGTACCAGGGTAATTGGGTGTGAGGTGATAGGAAAAGAGAACTTTTAGCAGGGTGTTCTGGAAAGAAGAAGGAAGAAGAGAGACTGCGGTCCATCTTGGGCAGGCTGGCTGAAGGCTGGCTGGGAGAGATGGCTTGGACTCCAGGGCTGCACTGCCGTGGGGTGCAAGCCCCTCTTGAAATGACCATGCGGTAAGATCTGGCCCTCCTCCATGCAGACTGAAGGTGTAAATAGGTGAACAAACCATATTTCTAAAAGCTACGACAGTCTCTGCCGTGTCTCAGTTCTCCAAAGGAACACAGGTCCTGGATGAGTGCCTTGAGCCCCCAGGAATCTAGCAGAGAGTGGGGGCGGCGTATGACTTTTGAAACAATATATTTATCTATCAGTGTTCTTTATCAGAGTTCAAGGACACATTCCAGCCAGGCAAAAACATTGGGGGGGGGGGTGTGAGTCAGTGCCAGTGAGGGCTGTGGCCTGGGGAGAGCTCTGAGGGGCAGATAAAGAGTACTAGCCCTGTTCTATACCTTTGCAGTTACTATTTTCTAAAACAAATGAATCAATGAATGAATATGGTTGGAAGTGCCATACGTGTGATGGACGGAAAACTGGCAACAAGTGCTTCAGTGAGAAGCAACTGGAAGGACCACTGTTCGTTTCAGTTGAGATAAATATGTTGGTGTGTGCACTTAGAGGTTGAGGGTATGTTTTTTCATATGTGGCGGACTTGTAAAAGGGTTAAAGAGTATTGGGAAATGATCCATAATGAATTGAAAAAAATGTTTAAAAGTAATCCCCGCCCCCAAACCTGAGTCCTTTCTGTTGGGGATAATTCACACTGAAATTCCCAGGTGTCAAAAAAGGTTATGGGCTACTACTGTGGCCCATGTTTTGTTAGCCCAAAAATGGAAAATGAGTGAGGTCCCAACCAAAGAAGAATGGCAACTTAAGTTGACAGAATATGCACAGGTTGCAGACTTAACATACAGAATAAGAGAACAAGAAGAGCACACATTTAAAGAAGATTGCAAAACATTTATTGAATATATGGGAAATAATTGTGTACAGCTGAAAACGCTGGCAGCATTAAGATAAATACAACAGTGTAAACAAGTTTTGAGGGATGTAATAATGGAATGCTGAATGGTATAGTTTTTTTAAAATATGCAGGCATTTATGATATGTAAAATGAACCATGGAAAGAGAAGGGAAGTCACTGATATCTTAAGGATGTAAAATGAGTATTTTAAATTGTAAAACAGAAAATAAAAATATTGTAAAACAGAGCCACAGAGTTTCAATACAGGGACATGTGGGAAAGCTGCCTTAAAGCAGGTTAGAGTATTTCTCTGTCAAAGACCAGTATTGACTATAATGATTCACAGCAGCTCTCAAGGGTCTCAGACAGAGGGTCTTTCACATGCTACCTGACCCCTTTCACTGAAGATGTCAAGGGCTGAACTTTCTGGATGCAAAGTATAATTTGTGCTGAAGAGACATTAGCAGTTTGTTGACACTCAGCTCTTCCCTCTTGTTTTGATTTTCGGATCCCATTTATTTAATTCACAAGGGTTATATACTGCTTGATTGTCATGAAACCTCCAGGTGCTTTACCAAAGGAAGGAAACAATAAAATTATCGGTGAAAAGCAACTATTAAACACATTCAAAACATATTTAAAATCATCAGTGAGCTAAGAAACCAAATAAAAACTCATCAATATTCTACATGTCTGGATAGGCTTTTCTAAACAAAAGCACTCGATAAAAACAGTACAGTGGTACCTCGGGTTACATACACTTCAGGTTACATACGCTTCAGGTTACAGACTCCGCTAACCCAGAAATATTACCTCGGGTTAAGAACTTTGCTTCAGGATGAGAACAGAAATTGTGCTCTGGTGGTGCGGCGGCAGCAGGAGGCCCCATTAGCTAAAGTGGTGCTTCAGGTTAAGAACAGTTTCAGGTTAAGTACGGACCTCCGGAACGAATTAAGTACTTAACCTGAGGTACCACTGTACCGTGAAGGAGACTGCCTTAAGGCAGGGTTTTTTAGAGTGGGGCTATGGCCAAACTAAAAGACTGATTCCTTACAAACGCTCACCAAGTGTTATGTGGCAGTTCCACAGATCATAGAATCATAGAGTTGGAAGAGACCAACATGCCAACATGATGTTCGAAGCCACAGTCCTGAGATTAATAGTCTCATTCTCTACCAAGTGGGAATATTATGAGGTAAGGAGATCTTGCAAGTAAACTAGTCCCAAGCCGCTACATACTTTATATGCTAACACCTTTAATTTCCACCAGTAGCAAAATGGCAACCAGTTCAGGTCTCTGAGCAGACGTGTCATATGCTGACAGGTCTCTCTCCGGCCAGCAATCATGCTGCAGCATTCTGCACTAATTGCAGCTTCTGGATCAAGGGAAGCCCCACATAGAGCACATCATAGGGAGGTTCTGAAGAAGATATGGAGTCAGTGTTTGGCATTATTGCTGGAGGAGTGGATATGGGCAAACAAACCACAACTTAATCCAGCCAACGGGATAGAGGAGAAATTTGGTACAGTTCATATTTTAATGCGAACCTATCTAATTTGCACTTTCTGAAACAATATGCGAACTGTAGGAAAGCCAGCCTTTGAAATTCTCACTTCTGTAAATGTTGTGAGGTGGTTCTCCAGCCAACTAATGAAAAAATAATAATAAAATGCATATATTAATGAAAACAACGTATAAAAATGCATTGTATTGGGAGAAACTGCTTGCAAACATGGGTCCAACTGCATAGAAAGACGGATATGTTCGGAGAAATTTGCACTAAAATGCTGGCAAATTTTCACGAGGGCTTTAGAAAACATCTGCTGCAAACTGATGCAGAAATTTAGAGAGAGGAATTTAGGAATGAGAAATGGACAGAAGCCGAAATTGACAGATTCACCCACCCCTGTCCAGCCAGTGAAATGCTCTTGGCTGGGGTTCTGTTGATCTGAGTGCCCATATACAATCTGTTCTCTGTTGAATTGCATTCCCCTCAAAGATCACATTCACAAGTTTGGGGAGGGGAAGGAAGGAGTTACTCCTGAAATCAGCATTGGTACCAGATGTCCAAGTGGCAGCAGCAGGGCTTTTATTCAGTGCCAGCTGGTGCTTCAGCTGTTGCCTTTTCTAAAAAAACCCACACCTGGCCATATCCAAGCTTCATGCCCACCCTGATTACTGCTACTTTAGATTACTAAAACGGTCTTTGTGTAGGGCTACCCTTGAAGACAGTCTGGGAACTGTAACTGCCAGGATTTTGACAGAGACTTGGCTCATGTCCACACCACACATTTAAAGCACTTTTGTACCACTCTAACAGTAGTTTTTTAAGCATGCTGAGAATTGTTAGGAGACCCTCCCCCCAGAGCCACAATTCCCAGACCTCCAAATATTCTGCAGACCTTGCCCATCTGAACAGTTTCACGAATTGAAAATAACTTGTGGGTCAGTGCATTGTTATCATATGGGGCGGGGGGGGGGGGCAAAGCCCTAGAAATTAATAAATGGTAGGATTTTGATTAATTGGGATATGGATGAAACTACAAGCTGCAGAGTTGTGCCAGACAGGGAAACCCTGGGCTGGTTTATGCAAACCAACCTGGCTGGCCTTGTGAAGAGCAGCAAATGTATTAATGGGGTTAATGCGCCATTTGAGAGGAATATTTTGCCTTGGAGAGAAAGGAGGAAGAGGAGGAGGAGGAGGAGGAGGAGGAGGAGGAGGAGAAGAAGAAGAAGAAGAAGAAGAAGAAGAAGAAGAAGAAGAAGAATGACTGGGATCCATCTTGGGCAGGCTGGCTGAAGGCTAGCTGCATTGCTGTGGGGGACAAGCCCCTCTTGAAATGACTATGCTGTAAGATCTGGACTCCCTCCATACAGAATGAAGGTGTAAATAGGTGAATAAACCATACTTCTTAAAGCTGCAACAGTCTCTGCTGTGTCTCAATTCTCCAAAGCAACACAGACCATGGATGAGTACCAAACCCCCTGAAATCTTGTTACCACTCGGCAGAGAGAAGCAGAGTCACCCAACTTTTGTAACAGCATAATGTATGGAATTCACTGACAATAGGTATAGTTAGGGCCACCACTATTTTAGATGGGTTTAAAGGGGAATGGTTAGACAAAATCATAGAGAAAAGGCTGTGGGTCAAACCTCAGCGCCTAGGATTTGCCAATCACATGGTCAGCGGTTCGAATCCCTGCGGCGGGGTGCGCTCCCATCGTTCGGTCCCAGCGCCTGCCAACCTAGCAGTTCGAAAGCACCTCCGGGTGCAAGTAGATATATAGGGACCGCTTACCAGCGGGAAGGTAAACGGTGTTCCGTGTGCTGCGCTGGCTCGCCAGATGCAGCTTGTCACACTGGCCACGTGACCCGGAAGTGTTCGCGGACAGCGCTGGCTCTCGGCCTATAGAGTGAGATGAGCGCACAACCCTAGAGTCTGGCAAGACTGGCCCGTACAGGCAGGGGTACCTTTACCTTTACCTTAGTATGACTATGGAATACCAGTGCTGGGTAGCAATGACAGAGGAGGACCATTGCCTTCATGCCTACTGATGGGCAGCTTAAAGGCACCTGGGTGGCCCCTGC